GTTACCATAAGTGTCGACTTTTGACCCCTTCGGAGTGAAGCCTAGGCTCAAGCAAAAGCTCTTGGTGTCAAAATAACTCGTTCTTAGGTCGTAACTGTTATTCTAGTTTATGCGAGTCTTTATTCCCCCCCCCCCCCGTTGTATAGAATTATTTCTCATTTTCTGCGATCGACGTGGAGGACTGTAGACTTGTTGTTTTGGGCCAAGTTTTATAACTATTTTCGGATACTCTTCGGTTTAGTACATGCACCTGTGGAAAGTAAAAATGCACCTGTGGAAAGTAAAAATAATTGTTACAGTGCAAGAACCAGGTTCTGTCTTTGGATCAGACTCACCTCTTTGTTGCCGTATGGAATCGATTTGATAAAACCTATAACAGGTAAGGTCCTTCAACTTATTGTTTGTATGGAATGACAATTTTGGAAGTATTCACAACTAGCGGGTACTCGGAGAGAAATGCACTATGACGTTGCTCCTTACAATACCCACTGTTGAGTGAGTGAAACCGGTGCAAACGGGCAGGTAATGAAGCCTTACGTGGAATGACACGAGCAGATATATGTGAGAAAGTATCCGAGCAGACCTATCGCAGCAACTTGCTCAAAACACAAGCTTTGCAAATATCATCCCTTCTTGTTCCAGCAAGTTTTGGAGGAGACGAAATCCTATCTCGCCCACATTCGTGGGGACGTTGTTGCATGGAATTATGTGGGTGTAACGAAGACTGTATCACCACTCCATGAATTTTCAACATCTTTCGTCGCAAGCCGTGAATTGATTAGGTCTATAAAATCTCGCGATTGTCATCTTTCACCCACTCTCTTAAAAATCCAATCTGAGGAAAACGAGATGACTCGGACGTAGACTCATTTAACCGAACCGCACGATTGCACCGTTCTCGTCCGCTTGGATTTGTAGCTTCATCACGTCGCCACAGGCGAGTGCACGCAACAAGCGCCCACGTCCTTCACAGATCATCCGGAGCGTCAGGGGTCGACTCCCGGGATCTTAAGCCTAAGGTCGATCGAATGTCATTCCACGACATCCGCTGAGTGGAGCATATGAAACGTCGCTCGAATGTCGTTCCATGACATCCAAAACCAGTGGGCAAACGACAGTTCTTCAACTGCGAATAGATGACAATAATTTAAGAACTGTATAAATATTGGCCGATTGTGGAACTTGGTTTGCAATGTAGCTGGGATAGGTTAATATTCAAATGGTGTTGTTTAATTGGCTATATATAGCTCGCCGCATTATTTTGCTTTGATTACGTACATTGCAGGACACCCAAAGTAGTGACAACTAGAAGTAACTTGATATTGACGGAAGTGGAGCTGATATCGCTGCCTTAGTGTCAATAACATTGATGGTACCTATAACTGCATGCACACTCGTCAACAAGGTCGAAATAGGTTACTGTAGGATTCTGCCCGTGAAATAGAGTCTCCACGAAGACTCCGAAGGCCCTGCATATACCAGTAGATATAGTTTGACATGAATCTCCTCACTAGTAACAACAGCTGTGCCCACGAGCTCTACCGTCTTGCTCGAAGCTACACCCGACGGCATCTAATGCTCGGAGCTATGGCCAGCATCATGGGCTACCCACCTTGGCCTGAGATTTCCCCGGCGTTGTGTCAGCGGTCTTGCACCAGCATGAGCATCTCCGCCTTGGAAAATGGGTCTGTACGATGCCATCTCCGTGTCTTTAATCAGAACTGCGTGCGGCATCGTGTCCACGATTTCACCACCCTGCAGTACCGCGGTCCCAGAGCTCCTGGACACGTCGCCGGACACAACTTTAGCCCTAGGCACTGTGATCCTTGTAGTCCGCTAGCAGCACTACATTAAACTTCTTGTACGTAGTGTAACGCCGCGTGCGTTGAGCCATGGACGGCGATTCTGTAGTGCTTAAATGCGTATACAACCTTGACTTGGTTTTGCTATGGAGATTTGCACCCCTGCATTTGCAACCCTAACTTATTTTACTATGCAGGGGCTGACTTGCTATTTGTATGCTATGGTTGAAAAGTCGGTGATAACGCTACGCGCGCAGCTATTAACATTGAATTTATACGTGCAACCGCTAAACAGTTAGCCTGCAGCGGGGCTGCCGTAGCTTAGCGTCAGAGGAAGACGGTTAACTCAAAGAGTA